GCAACACCCCACCTCCTCCGTTGAGCTTGGCGAAGCCCTGCCGGAGAACTGCGAGCTCCACCACCACGCCGTCGTGCTGCCGGAGTTCTTCCCCAACTTATCCTTCCCCCTTGCTGGATCAAGAAGGAGGAGACGTCCCCGTGCTGCACGTGTGTTGAACGCGAAGGCGCCGTTGTTCGGCGCTTAGATCGGAATCAACCGCGATCTGAATCGCTGCGAGTACGACTCCTTCATCCGCGTTCTTGTTACACTTCCGTTTCGCGATCCTCAAGGGTATGAAGATACACTCCCCTCTCTCTCGTTGCTAATCTCTCCATAGATTGATCTTGGTGATGCGTAGAAAATTTTAATTTCTGCAACGATCCCCAACACTTCCAATGTCATAATTTCAATGTTGTTTTAGGACTATCCTTTAACACTTAACGATATCCTAAGATACGGAAAGCATAATCACCAACAACACTTGAGCTAGTCCTAGAGGCAAGACTAGGAACCTTTTATTTAACCGTTTATCATTCCACACGTGCATATGAGCTTTTCACTGAATTGCATATTCTAGGATCATAGCAATTATAGCATAGAATATAAACTCTATAATTATGAATATGGAAATATAATAATACAAATATTATTGCCTCTAGGGCATATTTCCAACAAATAACATAGTCACAATACTAATGGATTTGATTGAAAGGTGATCAGGCGCACTTGAACCGAAGAACAACACATGATACACAATTCAGCCGAGAAATAATCACTAAAGATGAATACGGACTGAGAAATAACCAGTGGTGCTCAATGGTGACAGAAGAATTGGTGGACCAGTTCACTCTTCTGCAAAAGAGCTACGTCCGGTTGGAGGAACTTGTGATTGAAATGGGAGCAAACCTCCCTCCTTCTTATTCTTCTCAACGTGAAGTTGAGCAGACTTCAATTGATTTTACTCGTGGTAGATTCTTCTCAGCGATCTCCAAACCTTCAACAGACTTTCTTCACAAATCAGAATGACTCTTAGTTGCTGAAGACTTTGACTTGGAGACGACAATTACTCTTCGTCACTCAAGCTGACACATAACCATCTAGAGAGTTAGCAGCTCTCAAGAGTAATAGGCACAAGAACTCTTAACTCATATCTACTGTGATACTCAACCACTACCTGAGTATTGACTCTTGATTTTCTCTCAGTGGATTTTAAACTTAAATCTTATCAGAATCTCAATCAGAGCAGTCAACGAATAACATTGGTGCGGGGTGACTATTTATAGCCACGGCCTTCCCAAAAGGGAAATGACCATTTAGGACACGCGGTCCAGCCAATGGCCAACCGACACGTTTTCAATAGTCGGATTTTGAGCGCACATGACAACTTTACTTGAGGAATAAGCAAAGCTGACTCCTTGGTTCGAAGCATTTCTCTCGCAGCCCAGAAGATCTCCGTCTCTGGCTGACAAGTAAATGTACCAAAGCACAAAGAGATTTTTCTCAACTCTTATAGGATACGTTTCGGTTAAGCATCACAACAGACATATGTCTCAAAATACTTATACCCCTCTTAATAGTACGGTGGCCCTATGACTCAAGGAAAAAATGAAACGACGAAACAAATGCCATGTCTTCACTTCGTTTTCAATCTTCAAGGCTGCTGTCATTTCTTCTTGGACGTCTCCCGTACCAATTACTTTCACGTCAGCGCTGACCCTTTTTGGGGGTCATCTCTGAAACACAATCCTCTCGAAATCAAACTCCTCGAAATCTATTAATCTTCTCTACATCGCAAAAGACTTTCACTGTAGTTCATAGCAAACTTTTCGGAAGATTATGACAATCTTCCCGATACACCCGAGACTATTTATCTCTATGTGCAGTAGCAAACAAATCACTCCCTTAATGTTTATGACAGCAATCTCTAAAACAGAAGGGGCAGGTAATTACACCAACAAACTTTGACCAAAAAAATATGTATACACTATATTTTGGGACAAAGGTAGTATATGCGACTTAGTCCAAGGAATAGAATCCCGACAGAGCATGATGGTACAATTTACTATGTGTGGCTCGCGGCAAGGAGAAAACATATGATGATGGGCACATAGCTGATATTCGTAGAAGTACATTTTATTTGAGGTCATATTTTAGTTTCCAAACTTTGTTTCAAGTATACATCATTCTCACACATGTAAACTCAACTATTAACCATATCGGAATTATTCTTTTGGCCGTAATGCTTTCTTCATATAGCAAGCAACTAAGGTGCCTAAATCAAATTGTTTAAGACTATTCAGGATTACACTAAACACTTACTCTTTTTTATATCGAATACGCATGAGTGTGCGTATCATATATTATAGAAGGAAAGGGTAGAAACCCTCCACAAATGAGATTACACTGTTATATACAGGAAGCCCTCGGCCATCCCACTCGACCACTACTCCTTTAAGGACTACTCACTATTCTCCCACACTGCAAGTCCCAGCACAAACGCTTCGACTTCCCCTCGCAGTAATCCTGCCTGTTTCCATGCTCTGACTTCGCGTTCAATGGCCTTGAGCACCTTGTGTGTGGATGGCGCCTCTCCGTCGAATACCACTGCATTACGGTGAAGCCATAGCTCCCAGAGGACCAAGATAGAGATTGTCCTAACGAGCTTCCGATGATGACCAATTTCTTCCTGCCTGATGCACCACTCCGGAAGGGACTCCGTCACCGTTGGGGCACGTTCTGGTTGATCCAGGGCCCAGCACACCTTGCTCCAAACCTCTCTAGCGAAGACACAGCCAATCATGATGTGGGTGATGGTCTCCTCATGTTGGTTGCAGAATGGGCACAAGCTTTGGTGAGGCAGTCCCCTTCTAGCAAGGCAGTCGGATGTCCAGCACCTATTCCTTATGGCCAGCCAAGCGAAGAACCGACGCTGTAGGGGTGCCCTTGACTTCCACGTGAACTCCGCCGTTGGTGCAACCTCTAGTCCCGCGAACTTGGCCGCGTACGCCGATCTTGCCGAAAACATGCCATCCTTCTCCCACGCCCAAAGTATCTTATCTTGTGCATCCTCATGCAGGACTACGCCCTCCACTCGCTGCCATAAGCCCAAGAACTGGTGCAGTGTGTCGGTCGTAAGCTCCGGCCTAACGTCATCCGCCCATGAGTGATTTGAAAATGCCTCTGCGATCGTTCGTGTTGATCTCGTTTGCCTTGGCACCCTCGAGTATAGCATGGGTGCTAGGTCCTGGATTCTGTAGCCGTCAACCCACTTGTCCTCCCAAAATAGTATGTCATTTCCATGTCCTACCGTAGCTGTGGTCGCAGCCCGGAAGAGTGCTCTTGATTCCGCTGAGGTCGTGATTTGGAATTCTGCCCAGGGCCTTGTAAGGTCAGTACGCTGCAGCCATGGCCATCATCGCGGTGTTCAACCACCTCAAATTTGGTATGCCGAGGCCTCCGGCCCACCTAGTAAACACTTACTCTTGATTAATAGAGAGAACAATAATTTTACTAATGCAAAGGTATGTGTTTAAATTCATTAAAAACAATCTTAAATAATGACAAAGTTCATGTAAAGTGCAAATCTGATGCTCGCATCTATTATACTACATCCTAAATGATTGGATAGCTAATGAACGACTTGTCTTTTGTGTGAGAGTCTGGTTTAATAGGAAAGATATACTACTCATATCAACAAGGAATTCCTTCTTATTCGGTAGCCCATTCGAAAAGAACTTCAAAGTTAAGTGTGCTTGGTTTGGAGTAATTCTAGGATGGGTGACCGACTGTGAAGTTGTTCCCGGGTGCGCACGAGTGAGAGGACAAAGTGCGCAGAAAAGACTAGTGTTGGTCTGTGGGGCCAGACTAGATCCCTCCAGGCGTAACGGCCAGGAACCGGTGGCTATGGCCGGGGTGTTACAATTGCTATCAGAGCCGACCCTCACGGTTACACGGGCATGCGCGGTCAGGTGCACGGACATGTGGCTTTTGGCACGTGTGGCCCGTTGTGGCACATGACATGGCACATATGCTGCACTCGACGCGCATACGTGTGCCAAGAGGGAACGTTCTTGATGGGCTGACGAGGATGACTCCTTCTTTTCCGGGAGCCCATTCGAAAAGAACTCCAAAGTTAAGTGTGTTTGGCTTGCAATAATTTTAGGATGGGTGGCCGACCAGGAAGTTGGTCCCGAGTGTGCACGAGTAAGCACAAACTGCGCACAGAAGATGTGCGTAATGGCCGGGAACCGGTGGCTATGGCCGGGGCGTTACATTTTGAGTCCTTGATATACCAGACTTTTGAATGTTTTTGTTCAGCGATTCTTTGTCAACACAACTATGCCTTGTCCTAGACCTTGAATCATTGTGCTCCTGAGTCCAGGTACAATGGAAAATATATGGCCAATCCAAACCAAATTCAAACAAGTTTGTGTGAGAGGACGAACCTGATCTAGACGCACGGGGAATATGCCCCAACTTCCTTGCTCGAATTTGAGATGGACACGGATCGATCGGTATTCCATGTGGGGAGGAAAAGAGACATGAGAGAGTTTGAGAGAGAGACGTGAGAGATCAAGAATGAGACTACAATTGCTTCAAGTTCAGAGATTGAGACGTAAGAGCTTTAGAGAGAGCAATTGAGACGTGAGAGCTTTAGAGAGAGAGGGAGAGAGGGAGAGAGGGAGAGAGAGAGATTGAGACGCAAAGATTGAGAGAGAGAGAGAGATTGAGACGTGAGAGATTGAGCGAGAGATCTGTTTTTTTTTACTCTACGGCTTGTATTTTGTGATTAACGTTGGAATTTTTTGGCAGTCTCTGAGGTAAAATGAACTAGAGACAGCACAAAATCCGTGCAACAAACACGAATGAAATACTGAATCATTTTGCCATATTTTATATCCATTAGATAACTCTAGAACAGTGTCCTGTCTCTGAATTATGGTGCAATCCGAAGAACAGTAGGCAGACACTCAACATAATGATGATAACATCAGGTTAATTCACAGGCACTAGCTACATCAGTGTTGCAGCAGATCTCTGAACCAGTAGGCCGACGCCTTGGGGTGCCGTTCTAGGGTGGGGCTGTTGAAGTCGACGTACACGATGCCGAACTTGGATGTGTAGCCATACATCCACTGGAAGTTGTCCAGGAGGGACCACGCAAAGTAGCCAAGAACGTTGGCGCCGCCATCGATGGCCTTCTTCACCTCGCGGAGGTAACTCCGGTAGTACCGAACCCTTGTGGCATCCCGCAAGTACTGATCGCGGGTGAGGTTCCCTGGTTGATCCATTCCTGGCAACACAAAGAGTTTTTCCAACTTTTCTGTTATGTTTTCATCTAGGATTTTATTTTATTTTTAGTTGATGATGACGACGACATTAGCACATACGCATGACAAGATGCTTGAGAGGCATGAAACGGAACAAAGAGATATGGGACTCCAGTACCGTTTTCAGTTATGAGCATCGCTGGATTTCCATACTTCTGGCTGATGTAGTGCACGCATCCGTACATCCCCCTCGGGACGACATAAAGCCATTTAGAATTCGCCTGTAACGTGCAATTCACGCACCCACAAGACTTATGGTCGGAGAAAATAAAGCTGAGAAAGGTTTCAGCTAGGAGCTTCATACCCTTGGTCCAATCGGTTTGCCATTTCGTTTCAACTGCAAAGTTTCGGCTATAAATTAACGATGAAGCGCAATAATATATATTACTGGTGTAAAGTAAAACCTGCAGCTTAAGACAGGAAGAAAACTCACATGAATAGGTAACCGGCAGATCGGCTGAGTAGCTAGTCGGCCTCTGCTGCACCAATTTCTGCCCCGTTACGAATTCAGTTGTGTATTGATTGACCCCGATCCAGTCCGCTGAGCCCTTGACCACTTTAGCTTCATCAGGAGTGAACCTGGGCAACCTCTCTTTCACAAGGTCTTGCATTATCTGTGGGTACTGTCCGTTTATTAGTGGATCAAGAAACCTGCATCAATGCAACTTTCATTGATGTATATTTTTTTTATCTAAATAAAACTCTTTGTCAAATGCATGATACTAGTATGGCCGTACCAACCAACAAGGAAGTCCATGGCTCTTTGAGCTGCAGCTTGGTCTTCAGTTGAGTTGCTAAGAGCCTCGTACCAACTGACGTCCAGAACTATTCCAACCTTCCCTTGCTGAGCTGCCTACATTTTGTTTCTACTATTCTATCACCAATCTAGACGGAATGATCAATGTTCACGACAAATCTGATATCTCAAGATTATTTGTCACTAACATGCCCAGTGAGTTGGGGAAGCAATAATGCTTATATATACATTCATGGATATATACACAATCACAAAAACAATTTATTTGGACACAATTAATGCACATTGACCATGCGCCAAGACAAAATTATTTCGATAATGATTTTGTAAGTGAAAATTAAATTAAACTAAACTCCCTAAGGCTGATTATATTATAATATACTCTTATAGTTCAAGTAGAAAAAAACCTGATAGTTGTTCCGGTATCTTGCAACTGCATAACCATGTGCTAAGAGAAAATTATGACCAACAATGTAAGGCTCTGTTGCTGAGTTCCCACCAGCGGAGCATTTGGTGCACCTTTGGGGAGGAGTCGTCGCTATATCATAACCACCAATCGCTACTCTACTTGGTTCGTTGAATGTAAACCAGTGCGTTACACGGTCGCCAAAGGTCTTAAAACAAAAGTCTGCGTAATCTGCAAATAGTTCCCTACAGAAGAAGAAAAAAAGAGGTCTTGAAACAAAAGTTAGCGTAATCTGCAAATAGTTCCCTACAGAACAAATATTACGAAGATAATCACGCATGCTGCTTCGGCATAGAAAAATAAAGTGATTGTGTGTTGTACGATTTACTTTTTGAGTAAACATACAAAAACTTCTGCATCCTAATGTTCATTTGAATATGTGAAGTCACATTTAATAGAAAATTATGCATGTAAAAAGAGTAACTGGTAATTTGTCTAAACAATTTTTCTTGTATGCTTCTAAATCCAAACTATAAATCTAGAAATACTCTGAATGGGAATGTAAATCTAGGACATTAGTAAATAGAAAGATCGATTGCTAGTTTGACTTACACTGTCTTTGCATTTAACCAGCCTCCATACTTCTTCTCAAGTGCAAGAGGGAGATCATAGTGGTAAAGATTGACATAAGGAGTAATGCCTGCTTAGTTTTCATGGAAACATTCAGATATGAGATATCGATGTATTTATTTAGGTTCCAACGGAAGTTTCACAGGTCGAAATGAACGCCTAGCTATGCTAGCTGTACCTTTGTGAAGCAGGTAATCTATCAGATTGTTGTAGTACACCACACCTTCTTCGTTCACTTTTCCCTCGCTATCTGCAGAAATAAATGATGAATCAGTGGTGTCAATCAACAGCTTGCGTTCAGTCAGAGAAATATGGAAGTTGGGGTATACCCGGAAAGATTCTGGACCATGAGATGGAAAATCGGTAGGCGTCGAAATTCAATCCTTTCATGAGATTAACATCTTCCTGTCCCAGCATATGTAAGAGGATTAAACGTGAAAGATTGATTACTCATGTATGTTTCTGTTTGCTTCAGACGTCGTACCTTGTAGCGATGATATTGATCTGTTGTAACGTCGGCGTTTTGATTTCCCACAACTTTTCCTGTTTATTGCAGCACGGAATATGAAACTGGCGTCAGAAATAAAATAAAAAACGGAGTTTAGCTTAAGGCGGCACAAGTGAAGTGAAGAGGAAGAGGTAGGTCATTAAGCGGCACCTGGCGTATGCGCGAAGGCGTCCCAGATGGAAGGGCCGCGGCCGCCTCCTGTGGCCATGCCCTCCACCTGGTACGCCGACGTCGCCGTCCCGAACACGAATCCCTTGGGGAACGACGCCCGGCTCAGCCCACCCAGCCAGCGCGGGCGGCCTGGCGCCTTCGTGGCACGGACGCATGCTCCTCCCCCGTGACCGTGGCCATGGAACGCCGCCACCAGGGCAAGCAGCAGCAGCATGCACCTCGCCGACCTCGCGGTCATCTTGCAGAGCTGCAGGGCGGGCAGTGGGCAGTGGCAGCCTCAGTTCACACCCACTCACTAGTCACTAGTGCTGGAACTTCAATTATACGTAGAAACTGCCGTGGGTTGAGCTTTATTTATAAAGCGGAACAAAGTCTATTTGATGTCAAAAGTGGATTGAGTGGGAATTGTATTGTTTGGTGGTACTAAATACATTCTACTGGTGTTAAACTAAATTGTCCGGTATTGGTGCGAGCCTGGAATATTTTTTCTCCGACACCAAAAAAATTAAAACTTTTTTTCTCAAAATACCTAAATCTATCTTTGTGATCAAATTTTAGTTCAATGTTGAAATCAATACAAACTCTTAAGTTCTTTGTAATCCAAACTCAATGTTTAGATCATCAAATATTTGATGCATCAATTTTAGTCCGGTCTCGGTAAGGAAAATTACCTAGTGTTGAACTGTCTGATCGGAGTAGCAGCAGCGCAACATGGCGGCTGAAGCGAAGGCTAGAAGGGAAGCAGTTAGGACCCATGAAGGCAGGGGTAGGTGGCTGGAGGCAGCAGCACAATGGCCCAGGAGGAACGTTGACTCGGCGAGATTGGAGCTGGTGGCCAGAGTGGCCAACAGGCAAGGACGTGTAGGGCGGCTGGTGGAGATCGGGGGCGGTGGACTGTAGCACGCCATGAGTACGACAGGAAGGCAACGCGGCATTTGGCATTTTGAATGGCTCATAACTTTTGAACATATATTCGTTTTGATTTGGTATATATATGTTTCAATTCCTGGTGCCAAGCCCTTTAGAACAAGATCAATGTTCAATACATTTGAAACATAGTCAAATTTCAATGTTTCAATCCATTTATTTGATTTAACTATGTGGAACTACTTAGTTGTGAAGCTGCTTCCTTAGTTGTAAAGTCGCTTACTTCAATTTAACGTGAAATAACCTAGTATTCCGATGTTACCTTTTATATTACTGTTTGGTAGGCGAGTCACCCTTGAATAGCCATATTCCTCTTGTTGGGATTGTTTCACTCTATTATCATGTCTTCCATTACCATCAACAATGGTCGGCTCGACAATTAAGGTTGTTAGATCGAATGAACATTCCAAACATCATGGCTTCTTATGCTCCTCGTATTGTCTTGGCTCCATGCGAATACCAAATCATGTCGCATGGAGGTCGTGGATTCGCAGAATAATCAGTGCCTACCCATGTAGGTCTTTGGATCATGTTGTCTGGGCACTTAAATTAGACGACAAGCATTACACATGACACAAATAGTCAACCTAATAGCCAATCATCGAAGCAATCTCACAAAATATCACCATAATGATTAGGCACAAATGTATCTCATTGGTTCCCTAATTCTCTCATGCCCAGGGGAGCGGGGATTGCACGCACATGAGAGAAGAATAACAACCAAACACAAAGATCAAATGAAACGGAATTGTATCAATATTACTATAGTTTTTCGCGACAACATAAATGGTTAAATAAATTGTGATCGATGTGTCAAAGTACAAATAGAGTTTACAAACCCTAGTCATGCAAGTTGGAATATGGTGGTGGTGTCAATGGTGGAATGGAAGATCATCTTGTAGAGAAACCCAAAACGGTCTAAGTGAAGCAGTTCTCCTTTGAATCTCTCTTCCTCCGCTTTGGTCAGTGCTTCTCCCTCTTTTTTTATTATGTTCCTCCTCGTCCAATTATGAAAGTCGCTTACATAGATGAGGGGAAGGCAAAGGTGCCTGGTACGACCACTGGTATGAGCAGTTGCGCTCATACCGTGTACCGTCTTCTCTTATGTTGACACCTGATGTAATTCCCTTCAAAGGAAAAGTTGTGCATTTCCTCCTAAATCACCCAAATATGGCTCCAAATCCTCCCAAAGGTGTGTGTGCCTGCAAATCGAGCAACGAAATAAGGTTTCTCATTTTTCGTGCATATCGGTTGTGAAATAGCGAAAACCGGTGAAACCCAAGGTTAAACCAAGCAAAATACCCTCATAAACCCCTATATAAAATGGAGCAATCGTCGACACACTGTGTTGCTCCGCCTAATGCCATAGTGCATGAACCGTGATGTTTGTGCCCCAAATGCCACGCCTAGCGCACGCATTGGCACAAGTGCATCATGCAGTTGCCGCCTTCCTTGTCTTGTCAGCCGCCGCAACAGCCAAGTGTAGCAACCTCCACCAATCGTTGAAGTCCACAGATGACCGGACATGGGAGGCCATGGGAGTGAGTCTAGTTCAACCAACTCAGAGAGTTTTGGCTCAACCTGCAAATTTTGCAAAAAAAAACGCGTATGCAATGATGTCATCGCAAAGTTGGTCAACAAGTCCCATGACAGCGGAATACAATGCCCAAACGTATCTTATGAATGTCGTTGCATGTTGATGTGAGCTTAATGACCGTAATTCGGGTATTCTTGCATGAAGTTACCAAAGTGAATTTTCCTAACAAGTCCAGTGACATTGTTTTACTCAAACCGGATGAGTAGAAGTAGGCCGCCATTTTCTCATCGTGCATTGATATTGGTCTTCATCATGTGTAACCACTTCTTGGCTTTGCCATCCATGAGGCTAGTGTTGGCAACATGGTCCTAGACTCCTTAGTGAACCTTGCGAGCTCAACTTGCTCGGCCTTGATTTTTTCTCTCATTGCATCCATATTTGCCTTCTCCGTCTCAAGCTAGGTCTTCTCTCTCTCTCAATGGACATCCTCTCCTTCTCAAGTTCCACCTTCGTTGCTTGGATCTCCAGTTCTCCATGAAGCCCTTGTATCTTTCCTCCATCCTTTCTTTTTTTTCTCTTTTCATTTGTGAACTTTTTGTGGGAGATGATCCTCGTCCATGAGGACGACAACGAGCTCACCGCCCCAGTTTTAGCATGCAGGTACATGATGCCCCCCCCCCCCACACACACACACACGCACACACACTTGCCTCTCATGTCCATCCACCCCAACTTACTGTTAGGAGCTTGAGCCATCATTGATTGTTTACTTCTTGGATGCAAGATTGGAGTTCTCACAAGTCGAGATCCTTCCATTTATCTACCTTGTCCAACTTGATCCAACAATGAGCCAAGATAAATGGCTCTCCCTCATTGTTTTTGTATAATGTTATCGCCAAGTTCAACTAGCAAATGAAATACATGTGAAACATAAAAATGAATGAAACACATGATGAAAATTGCAAGTGAGCAAACCTTTTAATTTCCATCTAATAAAAATAAGTCATAATGTTTGTCCAATAGGTTGAACCCCTTTGCTTCACATATTGGATCAACTCTTAGCTCAACTCATGCCACGCACAAAAATTGATCCTCCTTCGTCATGTATGCACCTCTTTTCAGTTTCTTGGTTGATTCCACAACCTCGGTCACATCCATGCTGCACAAATCCATGCAACACACACACTCAGCCGCGTCCATGCTGCACAAATCCATGCGGCAAGGACGACAGCTGCTTCAAGGGTGGGGAATGACACCGAGGGCGGATGGCAGGGAAAAACGGCGAAGGCGATCAAGGTGGGAGTTAAGCACGGGCTACAGTGGGTGGAGAAAGAGGGGAGAGTAGGGTTGGGTTGTTGTGATGTGGGGTACAGATAGGGTTCTCCGGGCTGATATATTTGGGATGAAAGTGGGGGATTCAGCAATCTGGACGTTTAGGGCATCTCCAACGCCGTGCATCAAATCAGACAAACCAAATGTTATTGGACATGTCTGGACGTGTCCGCGGACAACGGTAGTGGAGCCGGCCATCCAAAGCGATTCGCCAAATGTCCACCTTTGTTTTTCTCCTATATCCGAAGCACTGAAAATAATTAAAGATAAATATCATTCTTAGTCCATAATCATGATGTGCAAATATTCCAGTGCAACAATAATTCAAGTATAAATATTACAATCCAAACATGAACTTCTGCAAATAGTTCAAATTTGAATTCAACTTATTCAGACACATTTTTTAGTTCTCCCCACGAAGGACCCAAATGCTCAACAAATCATTTTGCAATGCTTATGAGTTGCTCGATGGCAAATATATTCATCAAACGTCATCGGATTCTGCCTAGGAAATTCGATAGGATCACCCATCTGCTCAAATTTCAGACCGTGACGAACTCTATCACCCACATGCTCCACAATCATGTATTCATGTTGTACATGATCACACAAGCTGCCATCATCTCCCACAACATCTCTAGATCCCATATTTTTGCAGGTCCCCAAACAATTGCAAAACGGGCTTGGAGCACTCCAAATGCCCTCTCCATGTCTTTTCTAGCTCCTTGTCTTTCGGCAAAGTGAGATCTTTTCTCACCCATTGGATTAGAGATGGTCTTGACGAAGGTCCCATGAAGGATAGATACCCTCACAGAGACAATATCTCATGTTGTAGTCATGACCATTGATGGTATAGTTGCACGAAGGAGCTTCTCCCGCACACAACCTTGCAATGGAGACCGCTACAACACGTTGATGTCACTGTAAGACTTAAGACTGAGGCATCCCAAAGAAAGTGTCAAATCCAGAGCTCTTGTGATGCAACTGCTTTAAGAATGATGATAAGCTTCTTACATTGCCTTTTGTATAGCATATGGAAAATTCTTCCATTGCTAACGCATGCAACCTAGTGATCCGAGCATACATCATGTTTGCTTCAAACTAAACAACATAAACGTCAATAATTTTGGCTGTAATGTTTGCTTCAAACTAAACAACATAAACGTCAATAATTTTGGCTGTAGCATTTGGTTGAATACATGCCGCATGTGGTGTCCGCCATGGACAGCAACGTGCGAGGGCCAAGGGTACCTGGGTCGTGGCCGGACCAGGGTGGATGGGAAGCGTAAGCAAGTCGAGGCTGCCACCCAGGTGGAGCGGCAGAGGTCCAAGGCCTGAGCAGCGGAGTGGTGCTACAACTGCAACGAGGCTCCGGGTGGGATTTTATTTTTGTGAGTTATGATGTCCCATGTGGCGGTTGTCCACCGAAAACGGCATGTTTGACAATTTTGATTTATGGATGAAATCATTTCACAAAATAAATTGCCCTAAAAAAATTCACTCAGCTGATCATTTTTAGTGGTGCCCGACACGAAAGCGCCACACATGCAGCACCTGATTGACAGACGCTACACGCCTAGCCAGCGTCGCACCCGTATGATCCGAAAATTACTAAGTCAGTGGGCAGAGCCTGAGAGCTAGGCGCCACACTATACAGTGTAACGCCTAGCCTCTAGGTGTTGCACTAGTGGTTGCTTTTGCACATTGACTTAGTGATTTTTAGGCAATCCGGGGTGCGCTGGCCAGTCATGTAGCGCCTATCTGTAAGATGTTGCACAGTGTAGTGTGGCGCCTTCGTGTCGGGCGCCACTCAAAAAGGTCAGCTGAGTGAAATTATTTTAGAAGCACTTTATTTTGTGAATGATTTCATCCACAGGTCAAAGTTGTCAAATTTGCCTCTGAAAACCTCCCCCAGCTTTGCTTCCTGTTTACAGGAATCTAAACATGCTGACAGTCCATCAAAACTTCCGTAAACAAAGTGTCCAGATGTTTACGGGCGTTTTGATGCACCACACTAGAGATGCCCTTAGGGAGTAGGGTAAGCCCTTGAAGCGGATTTTCTGCCCAAAACTGTCCACGAGCATACGAGGTGATGTCCTTGGAGATACCCTTGTGTTCTCATTTCTCAAGAAGAAAAGAAGAATTAACGGACTTATCATTAACTGCTCTTCATATGTTTCTAAAAAGACTGCTGACGGATCTGATCTTGTAAATTAGAAGCCGTGGAATATGCAAGAAAGCTGCAATACTCCTGGAGTAATCAGACGGCAGTTGCCAACAAACAGATTACAGTGTTCACAACTTAAGCTTGAAGGTTTGTCGGTTTCACCACTAAAGCTTGAAGCTTGAAGACCTACTTGAATGGCAGGAGTTCAACTACTTGAAACAATTAAAAATGTCATCCCAGTAGCTGACATATTGCGGTTACTTGGATGATGATTTGTGCTTCTTTTTGGAGTGTGATTCTTCATTGCTCGCAACATATGACTCGATTTTCACATTTTCCTCGGCTTCACTATTTCTGAATTTCTTTGCCTTTTTCTGCAAATAGGGAATAATGCAATTATTTAATACTATTATAGTGGACTAACAGCACATACACTCCCTCAAAAAACAGAGATCAAATGCCAAAACAAGTTTAAAAGAACAGACACGAACTAAATATGTAAAGCATGAAACAATAACGGCTATGTACCTTTAAGGATTTTGTGATATCAGCAATCTCGTTGGCATTAGTACTTTTGGCAGATTCAGATAGACCAGCAGTGTTCTCCTGAAACAAATAACAAGATTTAGTAACTCTGCAAGAGAAAGAGAAGCCAACTGATGCATAAATAAATACACAGAAGGAAAATCTGACCTTCGGTGGAACAAATGCAGCTTCTCTCTTTCTTTTCTTTTCTTCTGATTTCTCTGATTGCTTATCTAGCTTCTCTTGCCATTTCTTAGCTGACTTCTTCTTGTCACTCATGAAATACTCACCACTCTCCAGTTCAAGATCAATCTACATCCATATTGACAAATTAAACAATGGTTTCACATAACTAAATAAAACTATCCAGCAGAAATGAACATTTACAACCCCCAACAGTACAAGAAAAAAATCTATTGCCTACATGTTTGGCTTCACTCAAATTTAAATGGGGCGTGCTACGCGTCGGGTCACGAGCTGTCAGATTTGCCGTATCAAGCGACCGAGCGCGCCCCACCATTGCAACACAGATCTTTTGCAACAGTTGTTTTGTTGCATTTTTTGCAACCGAGTTTTTGTTGCAATTTTTTTTTTCAACCGAGGTCTTGTTGCAGAAAAACTTCGCAAGAGAAGTTTTGTTGCAAAACATAGACCTTTGCAACACTACATATGTTTCAGAAACATAGTTCCTGTTGCAGAAGCGCGTTCGACAAAGGATGGTATGCGGGCTCTCAATGGGACACGTGCAATGCGGGGAGGTGGCGGACGCGGCCGCTGCAATCCGCCGGGTGATGGTAAGAGTTTCCCAATTTAAATAGCTTGGAAAATAACATTAATGAATTATCTGCATAGGATGGACAGCTGCGGATGCTATTAAGACAAAGGTGCAGGACAAGACCGCTAACCACATAACAAGTCATGAATGAACTGGTGAAATCAATATGGCAAACTGTACAACAACCCTGGAAACAATGAGTGAAACAAACAATTGACTTTACCTTGCTAGGCTGCTGAGGCGGCGGAAAGGGTGTGTATTGTTTCTTCTCCTTAGTATTGGGCTTCTTTTGCTTGACATTCTTTCTGGAAAACAGAAAATAATGAAGTGTAAGATGCACAATGTACCTTTTAGAGATAGTAACTTCCGAGCAGAAATATGATGCAAGTTCCTTACTTCTTAAAGTTCGGTAGAAACCTGTCCCAACTTTCAGTGGCTAGGGCAGGATTTTTAGCCAGCTCACGTTTAATAAGGAGTTCCTGCTTAGTTTAATAACACTCCATAAGAAATCATATTTTACATTCCTTCAGAGATTATATCTAAAAAACAAAACAAATCACCTTAATGTGGTACACTGGATGCTTTATGTTCTTTATGCAATCCTCTACAATCTTCCGGACCTGTTTCAGTCCCTTAAAGGAACCCATGGCAGCCACAGTATTTCCCTTTCATGATGGAAAATACGCAATAATGGCAGTTAATAACACCAAGATACAGAGTTGAAGGAGGTGGACCCACAATGTAACTTTAAATGCAGTGCAAAGTAAGAAATGAAGCACACCTGTACTAAGATGTAGCAGCCAGTCAAAATCTCTATAGCCTGTAGTAACATAAAACATGTTCAGAAAGGGCTGTCTACTGTTCTGAAAGAGATTCATCCATAGGACAGCAACCATGTGAGATATTTACCTTAAGGGTCGACAGGTTAGGGCCCAAAAGGCGTTCTCTCCTTTTGACAAATCTTTCCTGTGGATAGCACACCGTTAGTTTACTGAAACCTCAAACCATCCAAAAATAGTTTACTGAGGCTAAAAGATTACTTCGTTAACATTGGCAACAGAGCACAAATAAGTCCTGATGCCACATACTAACAAGTGATTCTCAGTGCAAACTTAATAAGAATAATTACATAATACACTGGATCACAAAAAGAATCCGTATGTGATTGGTTTCATCATTTTACTTTTGGCAATGCAAAGTTTCTCCTAGCAAATGCAAATCTTGTCTTTGCAAAGTTTCTCCTAGCAGAATATTAAGGTAATCAAGATAAAATCAAAGCAATCCCTTCAAACAAAACCAAGAGGTACAAAACTGAAGTTAAACAATGAAACAAAGTGTACCTTGTTTCTTATGATGCTACCAATCTTGACAATATCACAGTTCATCTCATCATTGAGCACTTTAATTGCCTGTGGGAAAACACAATAGAAGTTTATGGATGAGACTACTCCTGAACAAGGCATCAAGGTGTGTTGGTGACCATACAATAGGTGCAGGCAGAAGTAGGCCACAGGTGGCAAAAGACACAATATGCCCTATTGGGTAGGGAAACCACCCCCCTCACAATTTCAATACAGCCGCCACAAGGCATATAATAATTAATAGAAATTGCATAACAGTTAAGGCTTGGTAACAGAAACAATGCATACTTGGGGTGCAGGGACACTTCGCGACAAGAGCTTTATCAGGTCCCTGGCCTTGAGAATAATGTAGGGGTCCCTGGTCTTCCTGGTGGTGGAAACCGTCATGGATCCCTCCACCTATGCGCAAATCAAGAGAAATACCATAGAATCATGACACTACTTAAGATTAAGAACAATGCAAAGTCCAAACAATCATAACAAGTCAGTGGCATACCAAATTGAGCTCGCATGAGACTCCAAACTCCTTGAGTGCGCCCTTGACGATCGGCCATGTCTCCTGCAGATACTTCTCTGCGCCCCCAAACAACAAGCCGCGTCAATCCACGGATTCAGTGACTAGAAAACTACAACTACTTCCTCCGTCCCATAATATAAGAACGTTTTTGACACTAGTGTAGTGTTAAAAACGTTCTTATATTTTGGGACAGAGGGAGTAGCTCCTAACGAGCAGCACGAGAATGAGGGTGAGGGCGGGATTGGGCACCTCGGTACTGGGGGAAGAGGGTGGAGAAGGAGCTGACTTCCAGCAGGCCGCCCTCGTTCCAGGAGGGGTCGAACTTCTCCACCGTCCAGCGGTCGATGTTGGGGTCATCGTCCCACGGCTTCTCCTTCTTGTGCTTCCCCTTCCGCTGCCAGTTCTTCCCCTCCGTACCTTCGGCCGCCGCATTCGCTTCGTCTGCCGACGCCATGACGGCCGGGAGGGATAGGATTTAGGTGGGTTTCGAGTTAAAGGGGCTCGAGGCGGCGGTGGTGTCCAGGCTGCGAATTAGGGTTGACGATTGTACTGCCGCCGACGGGAGGGGAGGAGAGTGAGGGGGGATTAGAGAGAGGAGTGGGAGGGTTTGGGCTTGGGCTTGGGCCTTCCGGGTTTCGGCCTAGCTGCCCGACGCTCAAAAACTAAAAGCCCAACACTGATGTCCGGAAGAAAGTATACTTTTCCCCCTCAAATCTTCCCTGATGGATCAAATTTCCCCTGAACTCCAAATCCGGATAAATCACCCCTGAACTTTGGAAAACCGGATAAATGTAACCTTGGATGGTTTTGAATCGAATTGAAGGTGGTTTTCATACTAAGGATGCTGACTAGGCTATTAATGATGCTGACTGGGCTGTTAATAACGTTGACTAGGCAGTGGCAAGGAACGGTTTCAGGTGAAATTTCCCCATTTTCTCCATCGCCTTTCTGTCTCCTTTTGTCGGCCGCCGGCGTTAAATTCATCTACACTGCTGCTTCCCGGCCGCACTAACGTCGCCTACGAGCTCCCATTGAGCGAGCGCACCTTTGTCCTTCTTCCTTATGCAATTCCTTCACCTGTAGCGTCGCCTCGCTCGACTTTGAACTCCGCCGACATGGCCATGGCCAAGATCGGTTGTGCACGCACCCAGTCTACAAGTGCCCTCGGCAGTGACCCCGCAGCCTCGCTCACACGCTCGCCCTTCCCTGGCCGGACGCGTCAACCGTGCCAAGGCGAGCGCTGCTTACCTGGCTGGGAGTGTTGCCTCGCATGCGCATGTTAAGGTATTGTTCGTGCTCGTGCGCCTGGGAGCGAACGCAGGGATGGGCCTCTTCCTTTTGTAGCCGGTCATCACGCAGAAGCTCATCGTTGTAGCCCCCTGAAATGTCACCCAGATCATTGAAGGAAATATGCCCTAGAGGCAATAATAAAGTTATTATTTATTTCCTTATATCATGATAAATGTTATTATTCATGCTAGAATTGTATTAACCGGAAACATAATACATGTGTGAATACATAGACAAACAGAGTGTCACTAGTATGCCTCTACTTGACTAGCTCGTTAATCGAAGATGGTTATGTTTCCTAACCATAAATAAAAGAGTTGTTATTTGATTAACGAGATCACATCATTAGGAGAATGATGTGATTGACATGACCCATTCCATTAGCTTGGCACCCGATCGTTTAGTATGTTGTTATTGCTTTCTTCATGACTTATACATGTTCCTATGACTATGAGATTATGCAACTCCCGTTTGCCGGAGGAACACTTTGTGTGCTACCAAATGTCACAACGTAACTGGGTGATTATAAAGGAGCTCTACAGGTGTCTCCAAAGGTACATGTTGGGTTGGCGTATTTCGAGATTAGGATTTGTCACTCCGATTGTCGGAGAGGTATCTCTGGGCCCTCTCGGTAATGCACATCACATAAGCCTTGCAAGCATTGCAACTAATGAGTTAGTTGCGAGATGATGTATTACGAAACGAGTAAAGAGACTTGCCGATAACGAGATTGAACTAGGTATTAAGATACCGACGATCGAATCTCGGGCAAGTAACATACCGATGACAAAGGGAACAACGTATGTTGTTATGCGGTCTGACCGATAAAGATCTTCGTACAATATGTGAGAGCCAATATGAGCATCCAGGTTCCGCTATTGGTTATTGACCGGAGGCATGTCTCGGTCATGTCTACATTGTTCTCAAACCCGTAGGGTCCGCACGCTTAAGGTTTCGATGACAATTATATTATGAGTTTATGAGTTTTGATGTACCAAAGGAGTTCGGAGTCCCGGATGAGATCGGGGACATGACGAGGAGTCTCGAAATGGTCGAGACGTAAAGATCGATATATTGGACGACTATATTCGGACATCGAAAAGGTTCCGAGTGGTTCGGGTATTTTTCGGAGTACCGGGGAGTTACGGGAATACGAGAGAAGAAGTATATGGGCCTTATTGGGCTTTAGGGGAGAGGAAGAGGCAGGCCGCGCCCCCCCCCCCCCAAGGCCTAGTCCAAATTGGACTAGGGGGAGGGGTTGCGCCCCCTCCTTCCTTCTCTTCCCTCTTCCCCTTTCTTGTCTCCTACTCCTACTACATGGAAGGACTCCTAGTTGGACTAGGAAAGGGGGAATCCTACTCCCGGTGGGAGTAGGACTCCCCTAGGGCGCGCCATAGAGAGGGCCGGCCCTCCCCTCCTTCACTCCTTTATATACGGGGGCAGGGGGCACCCCATAGACACACAAGTTGATCTTCGTGATCATTCTCTTAGCCGTGTGCGGTGCCCCCCTCCACCATAATCCTCGATAATATTGTAGCGGTGCTTAGGCGAAGCCCTGCGACGGTAGAACATCAAGATCGTCACCACGCCGTCGTGCTGACAGAACTCTTCCCCGACACTTTGCTGGATCGGAGTCCAGGGATCGTCATCGAGCTGAATGTGTGCTAGAACTCGGAGGTGTCGTAGTTTCGGTGCTTGATCGGTCGGGCCGTGAAGACGTACGACTACATCAACCGCGTTGTCATAACGCTTTCGCTGTCGGTCTACGAGGGTACGTAGGCAACACTCTCCCCTCTCGTTGCTATGCATCACCATGATCTTGCATGTGCGTAGGAATTTTTTTGAAATTACTACGTTCCCCAACAGTGGCATCCGAGCCTAGGTTTTATGCGTTGATGTTGTGCACGAGTAGAACACAAGTGAGTTGTGGGCGATATAAGTCATACTGCTTACCAGCATGTCATACTTTGGTTCGGCGGTATTGTTGGATGAAGCGGCTCGGACCGACATTACGCGTACGCTTACGCGAGACTGGTTCTACCGACGTGCTTTGCACACAGGTGGCTGGCGGGTGTCAGTTTCTCCAACTTTAGTTGAACCGAGTGTGGCTACGCCCGGTCCTTGCGAAGGTTAAAACAGCACTAACTTGACAAACTATCGTTGTGGTTTTGATGCGTAGGTAAGAACGGTTCTTGCTCAGCCCATAGCAGCCACGTAAAACTTGCAACAACAAAGTAGAGGATGTCTAACTTGTTTTTGCAGGGCATGTTGTGATGTGATATGGTCAAGACATGATGAGATATAAGTTGTTGTATAAGATGATCATGTTTTGTTGAAGTTATCGGCAACTGGCAGAAGCCTTATGGTTGTCTCTTTATTGCATAAGATGCAAGCGCCAAATAATTGCTTTACTTTATCGCTATGCGATAGCAATAGTTGCAAGAGCAGTAGTTGGCGAGACGACCATGTGACGACACATTGATATAGATCAAGATGATGGAGATCATGGTGTCATGCCAGTGACGATGGAAATCATGACAATACTTTGGAGTTAGAGATCAAAGGCACAAGATGATGATGGCCATATCATGTCACATATTTTGATTGCATGTGATGTTTATCTTTTATGCATCTTATCTTGCTTTGATTGACGGTAGCATTTTAAGATGATCTCTTGCTAATTATCAAGAAGTGTTCTCCCTGAGTATGCACCGTTGTGAAAGTTCTTCGTGCTGAGACACCACGTGATGATTGGGTGTGATAGGCTCTACGTTCAAATACAACGGGTGCAAAACAGTTGCACACGCGGAATACTCAGGTTATACTTGACGAGCCAAGCATATACAGATATGGCCTCGAAACACGGAGACCGAAAGGTCGAGCGTGAATCATATAGTAGATATGATCAACATAGTGATGTTCACCAATGAAGCTACTCCATCTCACGTGATGATCGGACATGGTTTAGTTGATTTGGATCACGTAATCACTTAGAGGATTAGAGGGATGTCTATCCAAGTGGGAGTTCTTAAGTAATATGATTAATTGAACTTTAATTTATCATGAACTTAGTCCTAGTAGTATTAGCATCTCTATGTTGTAGATCTATAGCTCGCGTTGTTGTTTTTATATGTTTATTTTGATATGTTCCTAGAGAAAATTGTGTTGAAAGATGTTAGTAGCAATGATGCGGATTGGATCCGTGATCTGAGGTTTATCCTCATTGCTGCACAGAAGAATTATGTCCTTGATGCACCGCTAGGTGACAGACCTATTGCAAGAGCAGATGCAGACGTTATGAACGTTTGGCTAGCTCAATATGATGACTACTTGATAGTTTAGTGCACCAATGCTTAACGTCTTAGAATCGGGACTTCAAAGACGTTTTGAACGTCATGGACCATATGAGATGTTCCAGGAGTTGAAGTTAATATTTCAAGCAAAAACCCGAGTTGAGAGATATGAAGTCTCCAACAAGTTCTATAGCTAAAAAGATGGAGGAGAATCGCTCAACTAGTGAGCATGTGCTCAGATTGTCTGAGTACTACAATCGCTTGAATCAAGTGGGAGTTAATCTTCCAGATAAGATAGTGATTGACAGAATTCTCTAGTCACCATCACCAAGTTAGTAGAACTTCGTGATGAACTATGATATGCAAGGGATAACGGAAACGATTTCCAAGCTCTTCGTAATGCGGAAATTCACGAAGGTAGAAATCGAGAAAAACATCAAGTGTTGATGGTAGACAAGACCACTAGTTTCAAGAAAAGGGCAGAGGGAAGAAGGGGAACTTCAAGAAGAACAACAAGCAAGTTGCTGCTCAAGTGAAGAAGCCCAAGTCTGGTCCTAAGCCTGAGACTAAGTGTTTCTACTGCAAAGGGACTGGTCACTGGAAGCGGAACTACCCCAAGTGATTGGCAGATAAGAAGGATGGCAAAGTGAACATAAGTATATTTGATATACATGTTATTGATGTGTACTTTACTAGTGTTTATAGCAACCCCTCAGTATTTGATACTAGTTCAGTTGCTAAGATTAGTAACTCGAAACGGGAGTTGCAGAATAAACAGAGACTGGTTAAGGGTGAAGTGACGATGTGTGTTGGAAGTGGTTCCAAGATTGATATGATCATCATCGCACACTCCCTATACTTTCGGGATTAG